GGCGGGTTTTCCCATTCTGAAGGAAAGTTAATGCACTTTAAGAAGTGACTGGAGTGTAGGTTGAGCGGTGCTTAAAAAGACTGGCAGGCTATAAGTGAAGTGCCGACATGCAGCACTGCTGCAGAGACGTCAGGCCCAGCTTACACACAGCACAGACACACCTTCAGTCTGTTTCCAGCGTCAAACTAAATGATCATAATAGGGGAGGGAAAGTCTAAAGCACCGCTTAACTTACACTGCAGTCAATTTTTAAAGTGCATTAACTTTCCTTCAGAATGGGAAAAACAAATCCTTCAAACAGTATATACACATATATAAACGTATATCACCCTGCACTCATAAAAGTAGAAAATCCTTTTAAAAGCTGAAAAAAGAAAATCGTGAAAAATGAATCCAAAGGAAAATCAGACACTGGTCAACAGCATGGAGGGAAAAGGACTAATAATAAAAAAACAAGTACGTGAATGCTGAAATCAGAGGATGTGGTTTCTTGTACACTGGCTGGTAGAGGAGCTATGGGAGGCGAAGGGCAGACAGATCCAGTCCGTCTCTAATCCTCTTCACAAAGCAGGACTCTGCAGGCGGTGAGCGAGTGGCCAGCTGACAGCAGCTTCCTGGTTTCTCCCCCCGTACGCTGGCTGAGGTAGATATTACTCACCGCTGGAAACAAGTGTGCTTTCAGATCTCGCTGCTCTCCGCAGATGCAGATTAGAGCGACAAAAGCACAAATGTATCTGTAAGGCCTCTAGGTCATTTCCTAAAGGGAGGAAAGGGGCAGAGACAGAACATCACGTCAAAGAGGAAGGACGAGCTTCATTTGAACTGTTTTACTGTTACACCCCCAAAATAGGTGGAACTGCCCTTTACTACTCAAAAACTTGACCGATAGATACACAGCTACTCTACTGGTAGGTAGTTGGTCTAAAGATAATTCATATTCTAGTATAAAAATCTCATTAGCTGATCAAACTGAAAGCAGAAGTGAGAAAGTTCACAATAATTATTTCACATTGGTCGGGCAGTTGAGCACACATTCTCCGTGGTTGTGATACACAATGATAGTTTGTAGTAGTTGTGTTCAGTTTCCGATACATCCATACAGTGATCATATCAAAACACCAGAGTATAAATTGTGACATCCATAATATTTTGGGATGTATCAAGTCATGTAGTGACGGATAAAAGCCGGTTGGAAAAAGGATGACATTTAGCCACATTTCTCGAAACTGTTTTGTAAAGAGCTGTGGTTTGAAGTTGGACATTTCTAGACGATTACTAACACCATACCTCAGAGAGCGTCTCTGAAAAGAATCCGTGGCAGTGTCTGGTTTAGCAGAACACAGCTGCAGAGAGAAATTCCTGCAAGAAGCCATTGTTGGAGGACACTGCAGGGTCTGTTGAGCAACGCATAGCAGGAGTCACAATACTCGCATTCAATTACGGGACTTATACTTCTCCATTTGGCTTGATTCGAATATTTTGACATTGTCGAGATCGAGGGGGACTTGGCCTCACATCTCTGACTACAAGTGAGCTCTGTCACAGGCAGCCAGAGGTCAGCTGGTGACTGTAGATCTCACCAGGACACGTTCAAGACTGAACACACCTCGTGGTATTTCTGACAAGAATAAAACACTACTGTGTCAATAAAGCTGATAGGAATTTGATTTAAAAAAAAAAAAAAAAAAAAAAAAAAAAAAAAATAAAAAAAAAAATGCGTTGCTCAACAGACTTTGCAGTGTCCTCCAA